AAAAAAAAACAGAAAAAAAAAAGTTTCTTTTCGATTTAACTTAAGAAAAATACATCGAACGATAAAGATAGCTAATTACTTTAGTATAATCCGACGAATATTTCGATCCATCGTGACCTAATTCAAATTTTTCCATTAAAACGAAGTTTACCGGAGGGATGGAATTTCGTGTATATATTGAAATTCCTTAAATATCGACTTGCCCCCATCGCTGTTTAATAAGCTGATCGAATTGGAACGGAATTCAGGATCGTTGGAAAGAAAGCTCGTTACGTCGTTTAACCGTCCAATAAAACGAAACCCGCGAGGAGAATCTTATTGTTGGCCAGCCCGTGTAATTCGTTTACTCCCTTAAATGAGAATAGAATTTCGCTTTTCATCCACACCTCGCCATTCAATCTTCTATTATCTATTTCCATTTCACCCCCATCTTCTCCTCGATAATTAATTCTCTTAAAACTTTGGCCCGACAAAGGGCAAGGCCTCGCCGCGACAATGATAACGTCCAATATTTCTCTTAATTCTCGTTCGAAACAACGTTAAATCGTAACGAGTTTAATCCGTTCTATAATTCAAACGAGTCGATGTTGCGAGGATTATCGTAAACCGCAAGATTAGGAAACAAAATTAGGACTTCCGGAAAATCTAAACCATTGATGGGTTCGAGGTCGAGGAGATCGAAGGGAGGCGCGTTTAAAAAACCAGCGTGTCCAAAGTTTCTCATCGACCGTGTGAAAGAAACCGCGTCAACCATTCGAAATATCCGATGCGGGTTCCGGTTCGCTGTTCTCGAAACGTTCATCGAACATCGCGGCTCAAACGACGTCTCAGATTTCCTTTTTCCGATTTTTTCACGAAAAAGAAATCGTGATCGATTTTCCATTTATTCCTCGAATAGGTAAATAATTAAATTCTATTTTTACCATCGCGAAAATTCGAAGCTTATCAACTATAATTTTAAGATAAAGAGAGATAGAAAGATTTGATTTAGATTCCAATTCTACCGTCATTTTGAAGCAACTTTTATTCACCCCATTTTTCTCCCGGATAATATCGATGTAAATCAAGACGGTAATTTCACCTATACTTTATCCTCTGCGTATACATATATCTATCAAAAAAATGCAATCTTGCGGTTTCATACGCTTATTAAATCTTCTTGCTTGCTCTCTCAACACCTTATCTCGGCTTATTTCGCTCGATACTCGATTTGGAAAGGAAAAGAATCGGATCGATTATTTCGAAGGAAAAGAAATTGCGGTTAGAAGAATAAATTACGCGTTAATGAGCTCCAATTACGTTTGGGTTTGTTTTCGGGCGGGAAATTCTTCGTTGTCGAGGGAGCCGTGAGTGGGAACCGCATACTCGCGTGAAAATGCAATTTTCAGCCTCGCGTGGCATCGCGTTCTTTCAACGCGATTATATTACTTCGTTAAAACGAAACCAACCGAATACCACGTCCACGAGGTAAAGAAGGGGACAACTATCGTCCTCTTGGAAACGTTAGCGAGCTAGAGGAAACGGAGATCTCTCGGTTGAGATCCGTTGCTGTAAACAAGCGTAAAGAAACTGGAAGAGGGATTTGCCTTTTAGCTACGAGCATTTCTTCGTGAAGAAATTTTCTTTTTTTCTAAAACTTTTACCACAAAGAATTCCAAAAAATATTTATACGATTTTTATTTCTCTCTCTCTCTCTCTCTCTTTTCCTATTTTCACGTAATTTAAATAATAAAAAAGGGGAAAGGAAACGCGGAGGAAATCTATTTCCCAAGCGGTTGTTTACAAATTCCGAATACGTGATCGGCTCGTTAAAATCTGGAATTAAGAATTAACTCGAAGAAAGAATTTTATATTTTAAATCTTTCTTCGTTTCTCGATAGACTTCGTGGGAATTGAAAGAGTTACGCGAGGAATCCAAAACGATAGAAAAGAATGCGAAGAGAGAGAAAGAGAGAGAGAGAAAAGCATTTTCAACTCGTTAAGAGATGAAAGATACGAACGATGTTTCGGAAATTAACGAAATTCAACGATAGAAATAAAAATTGGTAGAAATACTTCTTGAAAATAATTTATTAGTTAAAACTTTTTAGTTTTCCCTCCTCTTACCAGATACTTTAAATCTCGTCAAGAGCTTTTTAAAATTCCGTATCATATTCATTTTCCTCTTTTATTCGCGAGGTCACATTTGATATTAAAATCAGACCAATTTGTCATAATACACCAAGAACGAGGGTAATCTGAATAAGATTACAATTTCGAGCGTAATCGTAAATGTTGAAGAATAGAAGAATAGAATCTCAGATTTCGATAGAAGTCAAAGTGACAAAAATCAAGAATAAAATGATCCTGTAATGAAATTAATTTTTCTAACATCAATGATCCAATGTATGAATCTCTCTGTTTTTCTCGTCTCAAAATTAGAGAAAAATTTAAAAACGAAGAAGAAGAATTTCATACAAAAAAATAAACAGGACGAAGGTGGTGATTTTCGATGAAAAATGAGGCGCGCACCAACATCATCCTTCGCACGATTTCGACAACGATGGAGAGCTGTGCATTGACTGATGGTCGAAAAGACTTATCGGCCGCTCCGTCGAGAGGGCCTCGAAAGAGTTATCGAGCCACTCGATTTCCACCAGAAACGATCTTAATAGCCTTCCACCAAGCGCCGACCCATTCCTTACGTAATGTCGCCGATTACGCCGATAAAATCGACTTTAATGAAACGCCTTCGAGGTTGGAAAAAGATCGCGGCCGGTTTAACCACGCTCGAGTCGATCCACTTTGCTCGACACTTCACAAATTTCGAGAGGGGGAGCGAGAAAGAGCCAGCAATCAAAGAAGACGCGCTCTTCAAACGAAGAATTCGAACGACATTGTCGAGCAATTGATCGTTCCTCGTTTTCGACCGACGTTGAAAAATTTAACACGCGTAAGAATCAGCATTTTACGTACAAAGTGTAGCAGAAATTGCCGTGTCCGAAATTGTCTTAAATGGCGTTAAATGATATTCAAGAAATGCCATCGTCGAGTTTACCATTGACGCGGCAATTAAACAGAAAAAGTTTCATACAAAGAGAATCGTTATACGTTTCGAATTTTATAACGTAGCATTTATTCATACGATGTTAAAGGTGTAACGTTTAAGAAAGAACGAACGAATGATGGATAGAATTGGAAGGGCGTAGGGCGAAGGACAAGGGCGATAAAATCGGTGGAAAGGAACGGTCTGCGAAAGACCACGATGCGACGACTATTGTGTCTTTAATAGACTTTCCAAGGCGGAAAGAGGAGTAATTCCCCCTAATAGCAGCATGCGCACCGATCAAATTGTAGGAGGAGGGATGAGATCATCGTGGCGGAAGCGATCTCTGAATCGAGTTGAGCTGAGAACTTAATTCGTCCCGTTCCCGTCACTGGTCGCCTTTTTGTCTTCGCGCTTCTTCTTCTTTCGTCGCCTCCAAATCATCGATTTCCACTTCCACTTTATTCGCATAATTTTATTCGATAAAAAAAAAGAGAGAGAAAAGTGACTTTCATTTCATATTATTTCTTTTTTTTTCAATATTAATAATAAATTGCGCGAGATATAATAAATTCGAATACAACGGAATACGAAAAGTAAAAGGATGAAGAAAAGGAGAAACGTAACGTCGACGATGATAAACTGGAGTCTCGAGAAACATCGTTGGATGAACGTACGCGCAACGTGTAGAGCACGATCGGGTCGATCACCGAAATTGTCGTGGTCGAAACGAGAACGAGCCGCAAAAACGAATCAAGGTCACTCCAGATCGCATCAATAAGGCGTTCGATAAAGCTTCGTCCCGAATTGTTAGCCGGGGCGCAATCACGGGGCCGTATTTTGACGAATAAAGAGCGGCCACCCGGAGATACGATCGTTTTATATATCGTTTCGTATACCGCCGTCATCGAATGTAATTCAGAGGATCGAAATAAATTGCAATTGTGGTGGTATCGAAGTTATAGCTACCACTTCGTATCGCATCTAAACGTTTCGGGACAATGCTTTTCGAGAATTTCGTGAAAACTGAGCTACTAAAAAAAGAAAAAGAAAAAATCTTGCGAGAATTTTCTTTCTCAACGTCGCGACACTTCAAACTTGCATCTCAATCTTTCGCGCTTCTCCCGTTTAAAAAGTTGTAGAGAAAAATCTTTACAAAATTCTTGAAGCGAGAAACAAGTATTATCTGAGCGTATAAAAGATACAGTAGGCACGAAAAGTATTTGCAATATCATTTATCGCAAACATTTGGATCGAAGCGACTCGAAAAGAAACGCGAAGTATATTTTCTCAAGATTCTTTCGATCGACTCGTCGGCCAAGCGCTTTATACGCGTTTGTTTCGTGGGATGGTTAGCAAGGTTTACGAGGTATCGATGGAGCGGGGGAATAAAGAAAAGTTCGTGGCGGAGAGTTTAATGCCGGCTGGCTAGATGGCAACACGATGCAGCCGGTAGCGCCGACCGATTCTTAGAATCAGAATCGTGACAGGAAGTCGCAGGTCAAAGGGCGATCGGGTCATTGGGCGATAAATGCCATTTGAGACATTTGTCTTTAAAAAATGCGAGTAGGCCGGTTACGAGATGAATTAAAGAATAAATAATCGTGTAAACCGTGGACGACGTTAATTCGATCGAAATAAACACGATGGAATGTACAAGCGAGGTCGCCAATACGTTTCAAATTATATATGATCTATCCTGATTAGATTAGATAGATTAGATAGAGATTATTAATATCGCGTTTCGCGGAAAGATTTTTCGCGCGAAACGTGTACGATCATGTATGAACGTTCAAATAAAATGTATCCGATATAAAATGTTTCTTAAAATGAATGAACGTTTGTGAAAACGGAATATACTGTAACAATGAAATTATAATTATATTCTCGGTATATAAAAATGAAAAAAAAAAAAGTTAACAAATAAATATTCTTTTGACCATATCAGAAAAGAATAATCAATTGGGAATAATAATTCGAACGTTTCCAACGTTTCTATAAATCGAGATTTCATCGATCATCCACTAATTAAACTCGTAACTAAATTCCCGTCAAATTTTTTCCATCATGCTCGGTTAATTTCATTATTAATAAAACAATTTCAAATGTCCATTCGTCGCGAAAAAAAATAATCGGAAAATCGTTAAATAAACTTAATAGGTCAATTTACATTTTTCATCATATTTTTTTATATTAGATAATACATTTTAAAATATATATATATATATATATATATTTTTTATCTAACGATAAAAACGATAATTAAAGAGTGTAAAAGAAAAAAAAAAAAAGAAAGAAAAAAAGTAGAAAAAAGACGGAAACCGAAACGTCAAATATTAATACTTTTTGTCACGGATGCATAATGGAGGCAGCAGCGGGCGAAAAATTGCGGCTGGTCGCCAATTTTCCTTTTTTTTCACGGGGATATTTCGACCGATTTCCATCGCGATTCAACGAATTCCCTGCCCGCGCATATTGATGCGCCCCCTCCCATGTCTTGGCTCGTTTTCGCGGCTCGCAAAATAGGCCGCACCGTGGCCAACGTGCGATTATATTCGTTTACCGGGTTCATCTCCCAAAAGCTCTGTTTTCATGAACTTTTGAACAGTGGGCAAAACGAACCAAAGATAAATACGCGACCGTTTGCCATACTCGCGTATCGCGAGTTTTTCTTCTTTTCTTTTTTTTAACAAAATATAGCCGCATAACGATCGCCGGAATTGGAATGGACATAATTTCTTCAATTTTTCCGCTATGTAGATTTATATAGGTAGGATTTTAATCACTCGCTTCGATCGTTTAAAAAGCTTCTCGATTTATCGTCGGTCGCTTAAAAAAATTTCCTCCCTTATTCCTTTCATCCCTTTTGAATTTACAGAATAAATCCGTAAACGTTTCTTTTACTTTCGAAAAAATTAGTATCACGCTATTAAAATCAATTGGTAGGACGTAGCTGTATTGAAATCAAAATGTCGAAAATTCTCTCGATCTTCTTCGTAAAAAAGTAATCGTTCCAAATTATCGTTGAGAAATCCAAGTTTTAGATTATTTTTAGATTGATAAATCGGAAATTTTTTTCCCCTTTCTTTCTTTTCCGATGCACACGATAATAACTTCTCTTTAAACTTCTCGGAAAGAAATCTTGTATATAAATTTATACATCGCTTTGAAGAAAAGAAACTCGATAGAACGTACGGTTGAAAAGTTTTTCGATATCCCATTCGTTGTTTAACTCTAAAAGCGACGCCGATTTAATATGAAATACGACCATGTATTATAAATATTAACGATCTTTATTGAATTCGTGATAAACTGATTATTTGTATTTCCGTTCGAAGCCGCGGATTACTTCTGAACGCGGAGAGATACAGGAATACTCAGGACATCGACCGGCCACCCCGCACGCGTGAAAAATGAAAATCTAATATACATACACGCTGTCACGAGCTTGTCGCTCCGGAAATGTTTCTATTGATACCGAACGAGGGAACGCGTTTCCATGGAATTTCAATTATTTGAATTTTAATTAAAAAAAAAAAAAAAAAAAAAAAAAAAAAAAAGTGACAATAGGCGAATCGATGGTTTCGGAAGAGGCACCACCATGCACCTTTGCACCCCGCTTTTGTCATATTGAAAAATTCATATAAAATACAATATGTAAAAAAAAAAAAAAAAAATTACGCTATACGTTTCTGTTTCCTCTTTACAAAATAGTATTGAAGTGGAGTCGTGTGCCGATTTATCCACGTGGAAACAACCTTTGGTATCGGGTCGCGCAAGATACTTCTTCGTTGCTTCGACATTTAACGCGATAAAATACGTTTCGCATTCGTATTCTAATTTTGCACGTTTATCGATCGCGCTTTATTTCTCACACGTTGCGCTATTTTCTAAAATAAAATCTCTCTTCTTTCTTGCGAGAAGAAGAAGAAAAAGAAGAGAACTAATTTTAAGAATTGAAAAATAATACAACTTTTTTTTTTTCAACGAGAAAAAAGGTGAAACAATTCGATAAATAATTCATTTTTCTCGTCCTCGAGAGCGATAGCTTACGCAAACGCAACATGTGAACGTATTTTGCGTCGGTTATAATTATGCACATTTTACGCAATAAATTTGCAAAACTCGTTATCTCGTTACATCGAACGTAGTAAATTGATTTTGATCGAGTAAAATCGATTTACGAGGGGAAAAAAAAAAAAAAAAAAAAAAAAAAAAAAAAAAAA